CTCCATCACACTTACTGAGGCTACACAAAACTTTCTTTCAGAGATTGTATTTTTTGTCCCAAGATTTCCGTTTGATTCTTTGTCTATTAATGTTTTGTTTCTCTGGTGAGATTACCTGTCTTTTCATCCTTCACTTACATTCCCTTACTTCTTTGAGCATAATTATAATAGCAGCTCTAAAGTTCTTGTTTGAATTACAACATCACAGGTTTGACATCTGTTGATTGTCTTTTGTTGTTGTTCCATATTAATATAATAGGTGGGTACTTACGTTTCAAGTAAGTTGTTACAGTGTTTGCATTTTAAGATAAACTCCAAATTGTAGTTGTGTCCTTCACCCAGGAAGTATGTTGACTGTCTTTTCCCTTGACCAGAAGTCACATATGCCTCTGTTACATAATATTGAGTTTTCCCTAGCCATTGTGAATATTATGTTGGAGATTTAGGATTCTGTTACATTGCTCTGAAGATGTTGATGGTTTTATTTGAAGGCAGTTAACCAGGTTAGACTCAAAATACAGTGTCTCTGGCAAGTGGCAGCTCCCATCTGACTTCCATTGTTTGCACTCTGCCCCAAGCTCACTTAAGGCTCAGGTCACCCAAAGACTTTGGTAGAGTTTACCACCAGTTCGGGATTCCCCATCTCTCTACTTTCTGGGAATCATAGTTGCCCCAAGTCCTTCCCTTGATGTCCGTCAGAAAGATAGCAGCTTTTCGTCAGAACTAAAACCCACACCTCTCCACCTTAATGCCACCTTCCCTGTGGCCAAAACCATTGAGTTTCTATTCCTCTTGAAGATCTGCGTGTTTTTGTTAACTCTCTACAGCCCTCAGGTAGGTTTTGCTAACTTGTTTTGTTCTTTTCTATATTGTCCACACTCTGTGGTTATTATTTGCTGACACATTGCTTCGTTAAGACCATGCCTCTCTATTCGAGAAGCAAAGGCTCTGTGTTTCAGACCAGCAGGTGTCTGAGCAATCAGATGGGCAGGGTGTGCTATGGAGCTAACTAGAAACTCTGGATTTATAAGTGAGGCTTGTTGACTGTGGCTTTTATCCCTCATGTGTAAGTACTATTCATCTGGCCGTACCATTTCACCAGGGAACCCTCCAATGTCAGTATTTTGGGGTCTTGTTTCTCTCCTCTCTCTTGCCTAGAGGGTGGAAACTTGACTATACTCAGAGCTGATGGTTGGTGGTGGTGAAAGAGTAAGGGGTCTTAATATCTCTGGTTCTCTTCCCTTTTTCATTAAGGTCTGTCCACTTAAAACTGTAGTTAATATTTTACAGAGCAGAGGGAATGAAGATCCGTTATCCACTTTAAGGCCAGGGTAGGTGATCTAGAGGCTAATACTTTAGCAAATGCTTTGCCAGTTCTCCCGTTTTTAGAATGTGCACCCCACTTTCAGGGATCCCAGACGCAGACGCATCAGTGCCTCATCCCTTCACGTACTCTCCAGTGTTAAGTTAAGTAGCTGTGTCTTGCCTGGAACTCAGCTTTCTTCAAATCAGTTACCGCTGGTTTGCTATCTAGCTTTATTTGGGGGAGAGGATTGTTTTCTTTTTATGTCCTGATACTAAAGGTTTGGGGAGAACAGCAAATTAAATGCATATATTAATTAATAATCTGTGGCTAGATTTCTTTGATTTTATTTTTTCATCTTGCTCTCTGGTCCTTTCGTAATTTTGGTAAATAGCATCTAATAGAAGTCTGATTTTCTTTACTTTCTAAACATGTTTAATGTTTATACTTTCTGTTTGCTAAAATAGCCCATCATTTTCCCCATCATATAAAATACCGTCGATGAGATGTACTGATGTCATATATGCCGAGTATATGTCTAGCCTTTCCATTCTTTTGGTCAGTGCTTTCATTTCTTTGCTCATACCCTGTCTCTGACTACTCCAGCCCCTAGCCCCAGAAGTGTATTGGGATCTCTGTTACTCTTTACACCTTCAGTAGGGCAGGACTGCCACCTTTACAGAATTGAGGAACATGTGTACTGCACGCACTCAGATCTCTTAGATACACTATTGACTCAACACACATTTCTACAGTGTCTGCTTCATGTTAGAACCTCTGACGGTGCTAGAGACACGGTGGTGAACCAAGAACAGCCCTTCCATGTTGTCACCCATCCTGCGCATTTCTTACTGAATTTGATCCTAACTATGTCATGTGTTTGTGGCTGTTGTGTACAGGGTTTCTTTTTTTTTAAAAAAAAAAACTCTTTATGTGTTTCAGCTGATTATTGCTGGGAGACGAGCCCTGCAAGTCTTCTAAGGTCATCATGTCTTGTGCCAAAAACGTGTCACTGCCCTTCGGTCCCTCAGCTGGTCTCACAGAGGCTTTTCCAAAGTGCCACCTGCTTCTTATTGATTTTTGACAGTGACTCGGATTACAGTTTGAGCCACATCAGCTCCTAGGGATCTCGTTCAAAATACACTCGTCATAGAGGGTTAATTGCTGTGCTGAAGTTTGGTGTGGAAATTGTATAATGTCTGATTTCTTCATTCAGCCTTAGCAGTCCTCAAGGTTTTCTTTGTTCTTGAGCCTCTTCGCTTCTCCAGCTGTCCATCTGGTTTCGTTCCCGTTTGATTTCGTGCCAGACTCTCATGCAGGAATGAGGGCATAACCGGGATCTGGCACAGAAGTGAGGGGAGTGGGGATGATTTCAAAGAGCTCAAAGAATTTGATCTCATTCTCATTTTTCATTCTTTAAGAACACTCCCTCGAAACTAAACAAGCGACATAAATGAGAATCATCATTTCAACCATCCTGTACATTCTGCAAGTTACTACATCATAGTGGGCAAAACGCTCATTAACTAATTTTATGGAAATTTTTCCCTAGGTAATGGCCAGGCTGTATCACCACTGTATATCACCACTCTTCCTCCCCCTTAAGGCTATGCCGATTCCCAGCCTCACTGTAATCTCTGGGCACCGGGCTCCTCTCCGGTGACCAGGGGTCTCATCCACAAGTCCTCTGTTCCCACAGTGCTCATCATTCATGTTGGTCATGGTTGGGGTGGGGTGGCAGCCCCTATTCCTCAAGTGACTCTCATCCCTGTCTCTGATCCAAGCCCTGTGCGCTTCCCTTACGTGCCTGGCTAACCTGTGAGTAGCTCCAGAATCACTCTGGTATCTACTTACAGTTTCAGTGTCCACCCTCTGTTAGAGTAAGTAGTTTCCAAGGTTAAGTGTTGCATTTGTGTCTTTAGAGAATCTGTTCTGTCCTACGGCATTGCAAGGGTGCAGTATGAAAGCCACAAAGTCAGCTAGATATGGGTTCAGCTCACCAGCTTGGTGACTAAGCAAGACATTTTGCTTGTATGGGTTTTTATGTTTTGTTTTGAAGCTTCCTCAAGTGTAAACGTGGCTGATAATAGAAACTACCTCACAGGATTGTCATAAGTATTAAATGTGATGGTGCATATCAAGTGTATACGGTGTCTGGCGCAGAACTGACACTTAGGAAGTTGCTACTGATATTACAGTATTACAAATAATGACATCTATAGGATTTCAGACATTAACACTACGCCTTCATCTTACAACACAGAATCTTTCTGGTTTGTCTTCATGGCAGTCCTGTCACCACCAGCATTGCATTTGCTGCTGTAATTCTCTCACATGTGTTATCCTTGAATGTGTTGTAATAACAAGAAGAACGAACAAACAGATCTACACCCTCAGTTCCAGGTGCAGTTGCCTTGTGGCTTTGTGAAAGGAACACAGCATCTTCCGATGTGCTTCTCTGTTGTGCACGTGCTGCTCGGAAGTTTCAGTCTGTCAGGTTTCTTCATGGGTATTTTTTCTTTGGGTGGTTTCTTTACATGACTCCTTCAAGGAAGTCAGAATTCTATTGCCAAATTCAGTTTTCTGAAGCCGTCCCCACAGAGTCATCTTCTCCTCGAGGGTCTATCCTTATTCTCTGACTGGGTATTTACAGTTAAGTTTTAGAGATCTGTAATCCTGGGCTACTAATAAGATTTTGGCCAGGATCTTGGCCATTTGTCCAGTTTAGGATGACTTCGTCCTTTATGACAAAGTTCCAGTTACTTTTACTTCACCCACCAGTTCTTGCTTGTTAGTTAAAATTGGGCCCAGAGTAACATCCCTTGTTGATTCATTTGCTGTCGAGGGGAGAATAAGACTCCAGCAGCAGTCCAGGTTGCTGCTGCCGTAGGTCTGTGGTAATTACACGCTCTCCGTCATGACGGGCCCTTCCTTGCTGTGTCCAGATGCACACTGGGGCTGTCCTCTGTGACAGCGGCATTTTCTTATTCTCTTGCCTTTTACCCTTAACTTCCACCACGCATCCCACCTCCTCACTTTGTTTTCCTCTAAATATTCTTCAGATGCTGCCCTCCCCCACCTCAGAAACTTTGATGTGATTTATCTCTACTTGCTTGGCAGTAAACGGCCCCAGGGACCTTTGGTTTAGCCATAAAGTCGGAGACTTTGCTGTGTACCTCTAAAGCTGTGCAGAGCTTGTTAGGCTAGAAATGACCTGCCTAGGCATAAAAGGGTGGCCTGGCCATCTAGTCTTACCATTTCCAGTATACCGCAAAGCAGCTGGCTTCTCCTTATAAGCCCTACTCGCAGTAGATGGTTAAGGCTTTTATTTGTTTTTCCTGGTCTTATGATTAGATGTAGTGTAAGTGTAAACTGGGAAATAAGTTGCTTGGGCAGTGGGGATCAATACCTTCTATTTACAGTACAGGACAGTTCTTGTAGTCCTCAGTTTGCAGCTGGTTTTTTTGTTTGGGTTTGGTTTTTTTGTTTTGAGGTGGGAGACCTTTTGCAGTGCAGTGCTCAGTGTCTGCCCTGCTGCATGTGTAGGGGGTGGGATTCCCTCTAGACCGCCATCGTTTGGTCCAGACTTAGAAGCAAGGGAAGTAAGGCCATCGGCCAACAGCTTCCTGCATTGTTTGCTGTTCTCCATTGAAGTCATGATTAACGCCTGGGCTTTCGTTCATTTGGGTCCCCTCAGATACACCTATGAGCGCATTGATGGGCGAGTACGGGGAAACCTGCGCCAGGCAGCCATCGACCGGTTCTGTAAGCCAGACTCAGACCGCTTTGTCTTTCTCCTGTGCACCAGAGCGGGAGGCCTGGGGATCAATCTCACAGCTGCCGATACCTGCATCATATTTGATTCTGACTGGAACCCACAAAATGACTTGCAGGTAACCATTAGGATGCTTGCTCTTTCCCTTAGCTGCCCCCGGATCCAGAACATCACGACAGGGCCTGGCATGGCTGTGGAGCTCCCACCACCCTCCATGCCACAGTGTCAGCTGGACGACAGGCTTAGGGCTTTAGTCAGGAGCGAAAGCCAATGAGAAGTCAGTGTCCACCCTTCCCACCAATCAGAGTGCTTCTTTCCTTTTGCTTGAAATCAAATGATATTTCACAGTGGAGCCTCCAAATACGGAATAGAACTACTGTTAATTATCATATATAAAGAAAGACACTAAGCTTGACTAATTCTCTAATTCTTGATATAGAGATTGATTCTGGCATTTTCACTTGGTTTGATGGTTGGATGGTCCTATGTCCTGCGTGTCATGTGGACAGTAATGAGTTAACTCAGAGGGTGGGCAAGTTGCATGGTGTGCAGGGGTGATGGGCACCCACACTCGTTCATGTGCTCACCAGGGAATATAGATTATTAGAGTTTATATGTGTCCAGTTAAGTTGCCTTAGGGATTCTGCGTTCTAGTTTTAACAGGACTCAATAACTGGTGGCTTTAAAGGTTTACTGCAAAGACTAGAGTTAATACATTTTTTAAAAAACAAGCATAAGCAAACAATAAGAAAATGGCAAAGTCTGGTTTGAAATTCTTCATCAACCCTGTTTCAATGCAAAAGCAATGGCATTCTAACCAGATTGGTCAGCCAAAAAGATTCTAACTTGTCAAGAAGGCTGTAAAAGACTTATATCTATTATCTTTAATAATGAGCTTCATCCTTAAGTGTGTATTATATGTATCTTGGGATATTTACTGATGGTAGGACTGTGACTATGTGGTGGGAAGGGTAAGTGGGTGGGCTTAAAACTTTTCATGATACAGGTGATTAATCAAAAGAAGTTTGGAGGCTGCTGTTTTGCAAGATTTAAGAGGTGCTCTAGGGGATACTGCAAGGGCAGGGCTACAGGGCGGAGGGAACTAAGCTGGTGGTATCTGGGCCTCTCCTCTGGACGCACCCACTGCCACAGGGTCATTCTGTGTTGTCTGTTTCTTTTGATGAGTTTCCAGACAAACTTCTGTTTGAAGAAAGCAGTGTTCAAGTTGAAAACCAGCGCTTTAAATTGTTAAACTGGTGGCAGTTGGCTAAAACTTAGGAAAAACATCTTGGTAAATCATTACAAAGCAAACTGTGTTCAGCATCCACCTTCAAAGGAAATCAGTGCTTATGAGTAGCTCACCATCAGCTCCTTCTACTGGTGAAAGGATGTTTGGATCAAAGATAAGTTGCTAGATATAGTGAATAATTATACGGATAATACAGTATAAGTTTTAAAGGAGTAACATACACTCAACACTAAAGTAATATAAGCAAAAACTAATATTTGATCATCTCAGCATCAAGAACCCAATTAGGGTAATGATATAGATTAGGGGGCCGGAAATTGTTGCCTTTTCAGCTGCTACCTGATTTCTAAAAATAATTTTACTGGGGCTCAGCACTTGCAGCTCAGTGGTTAGGGTGCTGGCTACGTACACCGTGGCTGGTACATTCAAACCCAGCCCAGGCCAGCTAAACAATGACAACTACAACAAAAAAAATAGCCAGGTATTGTGGCAGGTACCTATAGTCCCATCTACTTGGAAGTCTGAGGCAAGAGAATCACTTAAGCCCAAGAGTTTGAGGTTGCTGTGAGCTGTGACACCACGGCCCTCTGATGACATAGTGAGATTCTGTCTCATAATAATAATAATTTACTGGAATACAGCCACATCCATTTGTTATATGCATTCTCTGTGGAGGTTTTCATGTGACAGTGATAGGTTTTTTGTTTTGTTTTGTTATGTTTTTTTGAGACAGTGTCTCTTTCAGTCACCCCGGTACAGTGCAATGGCATCGTAGCTCACAGTAACTTCAAACTCTTAGGCTCAAGCAATTCTCTTGCCTCAGCCTCTCGAGTAGCTGGGACTGTAGGTGCCCACCAAAACACGCCTGGCTATTTTTTAAAGATGGGGTCTTAGTTTCGCTCAGGCTGGTCTTAAACTTCTGAGCTCAGGCAGTCCACCTGCCTCGGCCTCCAGAGTGCTAGGATTACAGGTGTGAGCCACTGCACCTGGCAGACAGTAACAGAATTGAGTAGTTGCAACAGAGACCTCAGAACCAACCAAAACTAAAATATTTACCACTAGGCCCTCATAGGTCCTTTGCTAACCCCCAAACAGATGATTTCTGAAGTCACTGACTGCTGTAGAAGGCTCTGCTCCTTTGTGGTGCTCACCTGTGAGTGATGTTCAGGAGCCCAGCGTTGAGTGGCCAGTGTGAGGCCTTGTTAGCCGGGCATGCCTGAAACTGGAAACTGGAAGCACACGGCTGGCATTTGGAGACAGGTTATGGGCACAGGCAAAGATTTTAGAATCACCATGCTTCACCTAGGTGAAGTTTAAACATTACCAGTTGAATAGGTACGATGCCAAGAAAAGGAAGAAGCAAGGGGAGTGTTCACACCTAGTGGGGAAGGTAAAGTCATCTGAGGTGACTGCCTTATGTGTGTGGCAGCCAGAGAGGGGGCTGAGGCTGTCCGGAATTAGGGTCTGGGCAGGAGGGAGAGGCTTTGGAATAGCTGTTTTTAATGTCCATTCCTGGGGAACTGGAAAGGGAGGAATTAAGAAATAATAGTGATGTCCAAACTGCAATTGGATAGTGTGAATTTTTTTAGTGTGTGAGTCAGTTTCTGAACTTCCTCTAGAGCTTGCCCTGAGTGAAGAAACTGAGCAGACCAGCCCTGCAGGTGGTCCGGGTGGAAGCCCCCAGAGTGCAGCGCAAGTTCCTGAGTGAAGGAGTGACGTAACTCAGAGGAAATCATCCCCAAACTGAACGGAGTAAAAATGGAAGAATTGGGAAATGTAGAGTCATGTTAGGACGGGGAAGCAGATAAGTGATCATTGGAGAGTGGGATTGGTGGTAAAGATGGTAGAAAAAGATCCAAGCTCTGAGTCTACTGCAGAGATGTGGCAAGAGAACTCCGAAAGCCAGAGGGCCCGGGACTGCACACCCACTTCACTGCCCCCCCCCCCCACACACACGCACTTCACTGCCACACACACGCTCCCACTCCCCTTGGCCTTTGTACTTGCACCCAAATGCTATAAATATAAAATATTTATTTCAGAGATGGGAACCCACAGACCATCACGTTCTCCTTCCCAAATCCTGAAAAAGGAAGGCACAAATTCATGAGGATCCAGGATAGGAACTGGGTACTACTTAGGAATAACAAAAGAGGTTATGTGAGGATCTCAACAATATTATAATTTTATCTGAACTACCAAAGGGAAACCAATTTTTAGGTCCCCTTAATGGGGAGGTCTTATCTAGAGAAATCAGGTGAATGCCCCATGCTTTCTTAACCTTGACTACATCTGTGCCAGCATCCATGTGTGTAAAAAATTCAAGGGTATTCATTCGCCTTTTCTCACCTTCAATTAGAAGATACCAGCTGGGTCTCAGTCCCGGTTCTCTAACAGCAGAGAACCCATAGTGTCTAGGTTTCCTGTAATATCTGAGATTGAAAATGGCAAAGGGTGATGACAGTGGCCCCAGAGGAACGAGAGTGCTGAACAACTGGCTTCTCTCCTCTTCCTTCCTACTCACTGCTGCTGGCCCTAAGGGCAGAAGCAGGCCTGTTGGGAATCACACAGGATCGCCTCCCCCTCAGAGACCACAAGCATCTTCCTCTCCCGTTGCTTTCTGGTACCTCTGCTTTTTTCCCCCTTTTTGTGAAGGGGGAGCTCTTTGCACATGGAGTTAGGCATTCCTTAAGGTTGAGCAGGGTCAGGATGATAGGTATAGGACTGCACAATTCCAGTTCCTTCCCTGAAGGCAGAATGCTGAAAGGGTGGGAGCAGATGTCCTGGCTGAGAGCATGGCCAGAGGGTAAGACAGCTGTTGTATGTCTGCAGGACTTTGGAAGGGAGGGGGGAATGTAGCCTGAGGAGCCAGAGCCCCCTCCTTGGTCACTGGAAGCAGGTCTCCGAGAGCCTGCCACACTGCTTCCAGCAGGAAAGGTGCTGGCCCCAAGCCGCTGCCTCTGCTGCCACCATGTTGCTCCACCTCCTGTTCCTTAACAACATAGATACCTGGAGCTTGGAGGATTCTACCTGTTGGTTTGCTTTTCTTTGCTATAAGAAAATAAGGGTTTGTAATTGCATGCACAGATACCCTGTTATGTGGTCCATCTATTCAGTGAATGTTTGTTCTCACTGGAGAACCAGGACTGAGTCCCAGCTGGCGGCATACCAGGTGTTGTTTAAAGTACTGGAGACGCATCAGTGAGCTAGTGGCAAACAATAAATGGTGGGGTCAGCAAACAATAAATAAGGAAAAATTGGTCAAGTACTTAGTAATATGTACTGTAAAGAAAATAAAAATAGAATAAGAAGATGAGAATGACAGTGCTTGAGTGCCCTGATGTGGGTAGGATGGTGTAGGAAGCCTGCTTTAAGAAGATGACTTTTGAGTCTAAATGATGAAGATCTTCAATTATGAGATAAGAAGGAAGAATGTTCCAGGCAAAGAACAAAGAACGTGAGCATGTGGCGTGGGCATGAGCACAGGGGGCACCGCTGAAGCTCAGGGCCAGGCAGGTCCTTGAAGTTACAGCATCGGGCCCAGATAGAGGGAGTCAGCTCTCCGTGAGTACTTCCTGGCCTCTTTTTTCAGCATCCTCTCTTCTTGACTCCCTTCTTTCTGCTGCCCCAAAGCACCCGTTTCCTGGCCCATCCCTCCATCTCCTCCTTTTCCTCAGCCAGCTCTTGAGTGACTTAGCTGAGTGCTCTAGGGTAACGGAAGTACTCAAGACCTTTGGTCTGATAGACTGAAGCACACAGTGGGAGAGGGCAGTGGGAAGATGTGTGTCCCGTTCCCCAGAGATGTTTCTGTTTTAAGAGGGGGCCATAGTTTCCTTGGACTTCATCTCAGTTCCTGCCCTAGTTGTAAA